TATTCTGCTGGACAAGGGGGAGAGAAGAGACTCAGTATACATGAAGGGTTAGTTATGTACCTGTAAACACTACATGCTTTTCATTCTCCACATCATTTCACAGACTCTTTCAAACCTGTTTTCTTAGTCATGAAATGGAACTACTATATCCATGTGCTCTGTGGACTAAATAAGACAACAGGGTGAAAGTTTATATACTGTTAATTGTCATAGAATTCCAGAGTACTAGCACAATTTTGACTTGCTTCCAAGGTATAATGCAGTAAGTAGTTCAGTTTGGGACTCAGCCTCAGCCTCAGATTTTGATCCAGCTTCATTACTTATTAAACTTTTCGCTATACCCCAGTTTCTGCATATAAAAACGGGTGTGTATTATTTAATAAAATCTCTTCTTTCAGTTACCAGTGCATGTAAAGAGAGAGGTTATCAAATTGTCTAGTACATACTAAATATCTGATAATCAATAACTGTTTTTTTTTTTTTGGGTGGGATTGGGGTTTGAACTCAGTGGTCCCTACTTGCAAAGCAATAGGTTGATTGCTTAAGCCACATCTTCAGTCCATTTTGCTTTTGTTATTTTGGAGATGGGGTCTTGCAAACTTTTGCCTGGGCTGGCCTCGAACCAGGATCCTCCAGAGCTCAGTCTCCATAGTAGTTAGGATTATACTCGAGAGCCCCTGGCTGAACTCAGGAGGATTGTGGTTCAAAGCTAACTCCAGACAAATAGTTCACGGGACCCTATCTTGAAAAAACCATCACAAGAGAGGGCTGGTGGAGCGGCTCAAGGTGTAGGCTCTGAGTTCAAATCCCAGTATCTCAAAAAAAATTGTATTTGCTAATATTTTAAAAGATCTGGCCTTCACCACAGGTTTCATTAACAGAATCCATTAGTTTTTCAGTCACAGGAAGTCTGGTGGAAACTGGATTAAGTTTGGGTCATACAGATCAGAGTCTGAGTACCCATCCCTAACCTTCTTAGAAACAAATGGCAGCTGCCCCATCAGAAAATGCAGCTGCAGCAGCATGGCAGAGTCTGAGGAATCCCAGCCTCTGGTGCACACTCTTCTGTACCACAGTTGCATGGTGGCTTTCTGTGGACCCAATAGGGGTGCTGGGCAAATGCTGCACACAGATACTTACCACTTATAAAGACCTGCTATAGGAGCCATGTGAAATCTCTGCTCGGACACAGGATAGATGGGCTGAGGAGGCCATCCATCAGTGTCAAGAAAGATCTAAAGCACCTGGCTAGTCAGGTGAAATAGAATAAAGTATTTACTGATCTCAGAAGCAAACTGCTCACTTGAGCACTCATAAAGGGTATGTTATTTGCGGCCCTGAACTCTGAATCCAAGGAAAGAATGTCTGGATCGCTATGTGCAGGTGTTTGTTGTGAGAATGGAGGGGGGTTGTCATGTGCTTTGTAAGGACAGATAGTGAGTCTCAAGTTCCATACCTGACCTAATCTACCTGAGAAAATGAGCTTATTTATTCACTGCCTGATAAACACACATGGGCATGGTTTAACTGATTGTCACAAAATTCCTGAGGTGTAATCATGACATTTCTGTATTTAATACTAAAGACTGAACTTAAATTCCTGACAGAAATAAATGTTCTGACCCGACTGTTTTAGAAGCTCCCCAGAGCTGTGATTTTCCACCAGAGGGATCATGTATTCAGAGGTGTCTGGGAACTACTGCTCTGGGGAAAGTCACCTGCATCATTGGTACCATCCATCTCTACCTGACGGGTCTCCATTGTGGCTACAAGTGAGGCTCTGCCAGGAGAGCCACCACCTAATCTGAGTGATCTGTTTCAACACCTACAAGATGGGGGACTGGGAGAGATGGCAAAAGGCAAAATAAAAAATGATAGTCATGATAAATAACAACAACACTAAGATAAGCTACCATTTAGAATATAGCTTCACTACTACTACTACTACTACTACTACTACTACTACTACTACTACTACTACTACTACAATCATCCCCATTTTACAAATGGCAAAAACTAAGATTGAAGAGGGAAGGGACTAGTCCACCGTAACCCTACAGGTCAATGTCAAGGAGGAATTTGAACCCAGTCCTAATGCACTGCAGAGCTTGGCTCCTTCATAGACCCCTTTTTTGTGTGTGTGTGTACTGGGGTTTGAACTCAGGGCCTTCACCTTGAGCCACTCCACCAGCCCTTTTTCGTGAAGGGTTTTTTCAAGATGGGGTCTCACAGAACTATTTGCCCAGGCTGGCTTCAAACCATGATCTCCCGATCTCTCCCTCCTGAGTAGTTAAGATTATAGGTGTGAGCCACTGGGCCCAGCTCATAGACTCTTTTGAGGTCTTTTTCCTTTGAATGAGTATGCATGTCAGAAGCCAGTGAATTGGTCTGTCTCTTGGAGAGAGGCACTGCTCCTCATACTGTGGAATAAACAGGATGGATTTGCCAATTATGCTTACAGGGAACATCCCTGCTTGAACCTCTGTCTTGATTGCAGTCAGGTTACTTACTGGACTTCTTAAGGCCCACTCAGAAAAAGCAGACCTTTTGCTACTAGGCAAGAATTGCAACCAAACACAAATGGGCTATCTTAGCAGCATTCTCATTTTAATAAACTTAATTAAAATGCATAAAAAAGCATGCAAATCACAAGTATATGTAAATGGACTTTTCCACAAAGTGTACTATAAGACAACCAGAATCCAGATCAAGAAACAGACCCTTCCAGCCTCCAGAAGTGCCCCCTTCTAGAGGTGGTGGCCACTATCTTCCTACAAGGTGAACACCATCATTACCCTTACACAGGATTATAAGGATTGTGTAAGTATATACTTTTTTTGTGTGTGTGCAGAGGACTGAACTGAGAGCCTCTTGCTAAGCAAGAGAGCTCTGCCACTGAGCTATCCTACCAAAGATCTTTTTTTTTTTTTAAGACAGGGTTTTGCTATGTATACTATGTTGGCCTGAAACTCCCTATCCTCTGCCTCAGCCTCCCAAATGCTGGGGTTACAGGCATGTACCACCACATACAGCTATCTGGTTTCTTTTTGAGCAGTCTTATTATTTTATTTCTGTGACAGACCAGGAAAAATATTCCTTGGGTAAATAACACTCAGCAACTGTATGTTTTAAAAATCAACATTAAATAAGCAATTTTATCACTTTAGATATATAGTTTTGTTTTTTTTCCTCTGTGTGTGTGTGTGTGTGTGTGTGTGAAAATGACAAGTATAGAAAGAGGGAAAAAAGTAGTCTCTATGTTTTGGTTCAAGGTTACCAAGTATCTATGCAGTCTGCTAGACTAAATAGGTCTGTTAGAATCACCATCACCCTAGTACTTAAAGTTCTTTTTCTCTGTGTGTGTGTGTGTGTGTGTGTGTCTATGGTACTGAGGGTGGAACCCAGGGCCTTCACAGGCTAAGCATACACTCTACCACTGGGCTATACCCCCAACACTCCAGCAGCTACTATTTACCAAGCACTTGGTATACACCAGGAACCTTTCCAAGTACTCTGCACGTGCTGTGACATTTCATCCTTGTAATTACTCCAGGAGATAGGAACTGTTATTATCTTTATTTTACAGATGGGGAAATTGGGGCTCTGAATCACTTGCTCATGGTGATGCAGAAGAGAAGTGAGCAAGGGCTAGAGCCAGGCTTCTGACTACTGAGCCAGTCTTTCCGTGCACCCCCACACGACCTCCTCTTTACACAGGCTTACCAACTGCCAGGTCTGAGCCAAGGGCCTTATGTGCAGTGCCTTCCTTGCTCCCCACAGCAATTCCTGGAAGTTGGTACTACTGTTATTCTCACCTAAACAGGATAGAAGGCTCAGAAAGATGAAGACACTTGCTTTAGGTTCTATTTAGGTTCTCAATATTGATAGAGCCACAATTTTAGCCATCAGGGTTCATTTGCCCATCTCTTAACAATGAAGTGTAATGTCAGCACACTGAAAGTTCCTGTCAATAATTGGGAAGGAATATTTGAGAAAATATTTGAGGTTTATTACATCTTAGTCAGATTCAGACTAATGCCAACAATAGAAAAGATTTCATTATGATAAACAAAGCATTTGTGAGAAATGTAAAACTAGCCAGCCCTATAGTTAGAATTAAACTTCCTCCCCTTATGCAACAGGCAAGCAAAGCCCAGTGTGGCAAAGTTGGGTACAATTCAGCTCCCTGCCTGCGTGAGCCTGGAATCCTGCCAGCTCCTTTTCTCCCTACACGTGGAAACCTTTGTTAGGGCAGATAAGCTGGTCAGAAAAGGTGGATACCACCACTAGCCCCTATGTGAGAGCCTGTCTCTCTGCTCTTCATTTACTTTCTCTGTTGGACAGGACAGTAAAAATAGCTTTCCTACCTTTTAGGTAGGAAAGTAGTACATGTAAAGCCCTTGACACAGTAACTAATATACAGTGGAGGCCTAGAAAGGCAGCCACGATGATGGTGATGATGATGGCAAAGTACTAATATTATGTTGACTAGTAAGGACACTTGTTCTACTCCTGTTAAGTAAAAACAGAAATTTCGCATTTAATTGGAACAAATCAACCCCAAATATTAGTTGAAAGTTAGTTCCAGATTATCTAGTGAGGATCCAAATAGAACCTCTGAGATCATTAAAAAGCTTCTTGAACGAATAAGCAACGAGCTTGGTCAGTAAGAAAGTCAAGTGGCAAAGCTCTATGCAGCAGTTCTAAGGAGAGCATGTGTGGGAATTACTGAATGAGAAGACTCACGGAACTTCACAGAAGTCAATCGGTTTGAAGAGTCTCAAGTTAGTTCTATTTCTAATCTCTGCTTCATAAAGACAAGATAGAACGCTCAGGTGGGGAAAAGGATGTACTTTAAATTTCATCGTTTTAACATTTCTTTAGAAAACAGATCACTGTTAGCCATTAAGGTCATATAAAAGTTGCATGCTGCTTCTCTCCCTATTTCTGCATCGACTACTGATATAAAGAGTTCGGCTCATCACTGTTCGTGCACTTACCTAACTGTACGTCGGTAGTGAATCGCAGTCTGTGGATCATGCTGACTTTGAATGACTTGTAATGGTGGCTGCTAAGCATATCCTGTACTGTAGCTATGTCAATTTGTGAATCCTCCTCAAAAACCCCGTCTGCCCTTGAACCTGGGGAGGAAAAAAGCAGTTTAGCACATAAAGATACATGAGGCTTGGCAAATGGTGTCTGCTTAAAATGCTTTGGGATAAATTAAAATACTATGGGCTATTTAATTTGGAGAAGAAAAGGCTGAGCGATGACTTAATAATGCCATTCCAGTAAACACAGTAGTGACATATTAATCATTTAACAATTAATCCCACAAACACTGTCTATGCCATGGCAGGCCCTTGGCTGGGCAGTAGGGATGGAGAAAGGACAGAAAAATCCCTGCTGGCTCTCAGCAAGCAGCTCCATATCCACAGGAATCAGTCAAAATCACAAGGTGTAGGTGGCCGACCTTCTTGTTTCCCTTCCAGATCAGAGGAGTGATCCCTGTTCCTTCTGAAATTCCCAAACCATCTGGTCAACAGCTTCCTGGCCTGACTCCCCACCCTCAACTGGCCTTCAGGCCACCAGGCTCCCTGTGCAATCCAGACACCAGCAACCTTTCTGATTCATCTTTCCAAAGGTCTGCTCACTCATTCACTCGGCACGTGCTGGTGAGAGCCTTGTACATGCTAAGCGCCCTGCTATGCGACGAGGAAGACAAACAGGGAGCTGAATGACATACTTTTTTTTTGTCCCCAGTCAAGCAATCTCAGCAGCCCATAATCTGGATTTTCCAATCTACTTTGTTCCCTCTCATAATGTCTTCTGTCAACTCCTCCCAACTCCTCAGACTGTGCACAGGTCCAGGGGCTTCTTACTGCTAGGCCCTTGCTCATGTGGTACCCTCAGCTTATACTATTCCCTCCACCCTCACCCTAGATCTGTCAAAATCCGTTCCTATCCCAGGTTGGCACAAACTCCCTCTCCTCCCTGGCACCTCTACTGATGGTTCTGACTGGCAGTGAGTATCGTAACGGTTGGTGTGCTTTGAACCCTTGAGCCAGGGAGACCTGGGTTCAACTGCCAGCTCTCCTTCTAACTGGCTGTGTGATCTTGTTGGGCAAATGACTTTATCTCGCTGAACTTGTTTTTGACACTCACAAAAATGTCAAAATTCATTAAAGAATCAAATATATAATATGCTTAATAAATAGCAGCTGTGACGATTTGCATTCAGTGGTAAGAGGATCATATTCAGCCTTACCTGAGAACTGTTTGGTGGTTGCTTTGTCCTAATATGAAAGCCTTCTGCAGGGCAGCAAAGTTTCTTGTTTATCTTTATATCTTCTCCTGCATGCAGTACAGGCAACTGGTATATACTCACTAATTTTTTTTTTTTTTCAATTGGAGTTTGAACTCAGAGGATTCAGCTTGCTAGGCAGGTGCTAGCTACGTAAGCCATCCCCTGTTCCTTTAGTTATTTTTCAGATAGGGTCTCACTTTTTGCCTGTGCTGGCCTGGACTATGATTCTCTTACCTGTACCTCCCATGTAGCTGGAATAACAGACATGTACCACCATGCTCAGCTTTTTTCTTTTTGTGATACTGGAGTTTGAATTCAGGGCCTCATGCTTACTATGCCTTACCGCTTGAGCCACTCTGCCAGCCGTTTTGTGTTGGGTATTTTCGAGATAGGGGCTCACAAACTATTTGCCTTGGCTGGCTTCAAATCACGATCCTCCTGATCTCTGCCTCCCGAGTAGCCAGGATTATAGGTGTAAGCCTCTATGCCCATCCTAAATCTTACTAAATAACTAACTAGTATATATGAACACTACTCTGTGTCAGGCATGGTGTTAAGCACTTTTTCACTGCATTGAAGCCTCTCATGATAACCTGGTAGGTCCTAGAAGTTTCTATCTTATATGGGTGAGGAACTCAAGGACTTGGGAGGATAAATGACATCCCAAGGGTTTACTAAGCAAAGCAAAACATACACATTGTTACTTAGAGTCTGAAATGTGGACTTCTGAGGTATAGTTGCTGGTGTCATTTGGGGCTGAGGGGAGCACCTATCTGGCAGAGACCAAGAAAAGAGGGGGTCCTAGGCCCTGTGCTGGGCACCTAGTTCCACAAAACTCAGAGAACTCCTTGGACAGAGTTTGGGGAACAGAAAACTCTAGATCTGGGTGTCAACTGAAAAACTGTTACATAACTGGTAGCCTAACATTACATGCTTTTCACTGCCTATAGCACAAGCTTTTCAAGATGGTCTCTTGCTTTCACATTGATTTATTAGGCACTATATGTCCTATTTGCAAACACTAAGGTTATTCACACCTTGGACAACCTTAGCACTTACAATAGGCCTTGCTTTTGTTAAGGCTGTGAGAGGCCTCTGACAGAATCCTATCTGGGAGCATCCTGCATAGGCCATCCTCCTGCCCAGCTCACCCTTCTCCCTATTTCACTCCCTCCTGGTCACCTCTCTATTCCTCCTGAAGAGATTAGCTCTAGTAAGCTCCAGCAAAGCCTTCCCTGACCCCAGACCCCCAAGTTTAGCTTTGCTTCTTTAGTCACTGCACCCTGCATCTTCCTTCAGATGTTACCACACTAGACTGAAAACCCCAGGCAGGCATAGTGATGCTGTTCCTACCACTGTATCCCAGACCCTGCAGTGCTACTGTGCAGAGGAGAAAGCAAGAGTGCAATAAAAACTACTGGATAGACACCAGGTTCCATACCCACAGGAAGGTGAGCATCAGAGAAGCAGGGGCTTACTCAACACCACAATGCTTCACCCCTGCAAGGGTCTCTGGGTAACCCATTTTCTTTCTTTGCGACACCCATGATTTTGGACAGAGGTGCTATAATCACAGTCACAATCATCTCCTGGGTAATGTCCACATCGGAATGACAGGCTGGTTAGGAGGAGAGTTCAGAATAATCATCCATTTGCCAAAATGTGTTTATTTCTACTTTAGAACTTTTTATATATGAGAGAATTACAGAGAATTTTAATAAAATATCACAATCCTTTAATGTTTTAAAAGTCATTTAAAGCCATCTTTTCTGTGCCATTATTACATATAACTTAGCTCTGAGCTCCAGAATGTCTGTTCTCTTTACTAATTAGTATTTGCTAAATATTGCAGGTATTTGATTTGGAAAGAGGTAACAGCTCATTATGCTAAAATGCCAATTACTAAAAAAAAAAAAAAAACCCACACACATACTTAAGATTTTTACATTTTATGATGTTGGATTAAAACCAATTTAAAAATGACTATAACGTGACATATAATTTTACTGAGCAATTTCAATGCCAGCTGCTAATAAAGCATCTTAGCTGTAAATGATAATTCAGATGCTTTTAGATAAAGTGGTGCATAAATATGGCTGGGAATTGATTTAGCTTCTTACAGAAGCTACTGAAGAATGACATATTTTGTTTAATACACCAGCTAATGTAGTCCTAAAAGCTCAAACAAGTGCCAGTTTTTAACTACTAAATTTGCTGTGGGAGATTAATGAAAACTTTATATTTTCTGAAATGTTAATAATGGGCAGATGAGATGATAGGATTTTAGTAGAGGTCTTAAAACTATGGAATAACCAGCAAGGCTTGTCAATTTCGTTATATTAATTTTGTTCAAGACTTACATAGCTGGAGCTGGCTCAACACACTAATGCATTGTGCATTGACCTTCTACTCTCTGCCAGTATAAATTCATATCTCATTTGGGGATTTAAGTCCCCCATAGTTGGGTGAGTTCGGAGCTTGCCCCTGCTGACAGGGGCATGTTTGCTTTTAAGATCAGAAGGGCAACAGCACCTGGGGGAGCATGGAAGGAGTTGTCCTGCACTCCCTCCAGTTCAAACTGCTCACTCCAGCGCAGGCTAGCTGCTGAATGGAGCAACTGTTGGTCTCCAGTGCCATTTCTCAAGTAAGCCCAGGAGCACAGCTGCTCAGAGGGGCTTGTTTGGTTGTACCTGCACCTTGCAACCACTTCTCCTCATGCTAGCACCAGGCTAGACTACTCCCACAGGAGGGGAGTGGTGGGGTCAAGGCAGGACTCCTGATCTTGGGAGCATACAATCCAGCTACAGAACACAAAGAAAACAGGACAAGGGAGAGAGAAGTGCCCAATGAATGGTGTATATAATTGACAATACCTAAAGACAAGTATTAGAAGCAAAACATTAGATCAAAAGCATGCTTTTGGACCAGCAAAGTCCTATGACTTGGTGTGTATACCTTTAATGTTTGTATACTTCTGGTAACAGTGAACCCAACCACACATGAAACATGATTGGCACAGCACCATTTGGATATTAAAATTATTACTGTACTATGAACTTCACACTAAAAAACCTTTTATTCAAGAGAAGGTATTTTATCTTCTGAAAGTGCAAAGCAGAGAGAACCACAATGTCTTAAAAATAAACATAAAACCCCAAAGCCCCTTTTCCCATGTCATGAATTTAACTGAAATATAACCCTTTGGTATGTTGTTAAATTAGCAATTAAAAAGGTCACAAGGAATTAAATGAAACAAAAGTCACACTGCGTTCATCTACATTAATGCTGAACTGGGTCTCCTTGTGAATGACAAGATAAACTGTAATGGTGCCTTCAAAGACTTCACAATGTATTTTGTCAAAGTCGGGAGTGTTAATGTCTCTATGTGCCATGGGTTACCATAATGTATTGTGTCAAAACGCTTGAGCTGCAATAACTCAAAGATGTACTGTGATAGATCAAATTTTGGGGTGGAGCTTAATAGTGACTTGAGCACCAGAGCTCAAATGGACTGACAACAAAGCCTTGGAAGAAAGACAGAGAATTTATTTGTAACGTGGAGAGGTCCGAGGGACAAGCAGAGAATTCAAGAGGGGGAGCAGCTTAGTTTTTTCTAGAGTGAAAAATCAGGAAGGAGGAATTAAAGAATAAAGCCTGTCTTAGGGGAAAGATGGCCAAATCTGGCTAGTCAGGGAGGGTAAAGGGAAACAGAGAGGAGGTGAGCAAGGAGGCAGGCAATTCTAGGGCCTGTAGCAATGAAAGAGGGAAGTGGTGCTGTGAGACAACCCAGGGTTGGGGGTGACCTTGGGACTTAAAAACATTAAATACAACACC